GACGGACTGAAGCAGAGGGTAAACAGAGAGACACGCAGTCAGCTGGGGACTGACAAAGATGGTCCTTTAAACTGAGAACTACATCCCTTAGCCGGAACTCTAGAACTCGGGTTCCGCTTCCTTTTTCCCCATCAGACTACCCTATGTCTGTTCTGATACGAAAATGGGAGAGATTTCTGATAGAAGTAGAGAATCAAGATTCTGTAATACTCTGAATCACTGAAACATGTTTACAAAACATCCAATATAAAAATATGCTTTCAGGGAGCTTGGGTGGTACAGTCGGTTGAGCATCCAACCCCTTGTTTCAGCTTAGGCTGTTATCTCAGAGTCATGAGATCAAGCCCTGTGTCTGGCTCCATGCAGAGGCAGCTTAAGACTCTCTCTCCTTCTCCCTCTGCCCCTCCCCCCCACTCACACCCACCTGTGCCATATGTATTTAAACAAACACTGTGCCTAAGGTGTGACTTTGGTCACATCGTTTCTTACTGTTCTGTATTTAATCTATTTCAGCTCTTCTGTATCTCTGTATTTCCAGAGCCAGAGGGAAACCCAAGAGATTAGGCATAGTCAGGGCTGTGGCCAAGCCAACTCTTTTTGGACAAAGCAGAATTACAAGGAAATGGATTTACATATCCATGAACTTGACCTTCTCCTAAACCTTACTCAGGTCTAACTCGTATTATGGCTGCAGAAAAGTCCTAGCACTTCAGAGCCACAGTGTCACTATCAGAAGGACAATTACCTATCTCTACTTACTCCCAAGGAACAAAGAGAGGATGAATTCACTAATAATTTTTAAATTACTTTAAGGAAGAAAAAAAAGCTGACACTCATGATTAATAGTTGCACACCAGTGGTTTCACTGCTTTCGTACCCATCAGGGAACTATCACCTGCTGACCGTTGATTTTTCGTTTCTCCAGTAACCACCTGTACTGTCACTTCCTCAGACCCTAAGAGAGTTCACAGGCTGCTGTGGAAACAAGACCACACCTTGGCTGGACTGTGGATGAGCAGCTGTCTTAGCTAAGTTTCCCTCCAAAATTGAGAGGGACTTTGGGAAAAAACAATTTCACTTTCTGATCAAATATGATCTTTTATTTTTTTAATTAAAAGATTTTACTTGAGTGAGAGAGAGACAGCATGTGCACGAGCGGGGTGGGGGCAGAGGGAGCAGCAGACTCCCCACCAAGCAGGGAGCCCGCAGCACTCTATCCCAGGACCCCAAGAACATGACCTGAGCCAAAGGCAAACACTTAACCGACTGAGCCACCCAGGTGCCCCATATGGGTTTTTTTTAATATTTTTTTAATTTATTTGACACAGAGAGAGAGAGATCACAAGTAAGCAGAGGCAGGCAGAGAGAGAAGGGGGAGGCAGGCTCCTGCTCAGCAGGGAGCCCAATGTGGGACTCGATCTGAGATCACGACCTGAGCCAAAGGCAGAGACTTAACCCACTGAGCCACCCAGGCACCCCCCATATGATCTTTTAATTGCTTTCTTGTTACTGCAATTTTTTAAAAGACTTTATTTATTTATTTGACAGAGATCACAAGTAGGCAAAGAGGCAGGCAGAGAGAGAGGGGGGAGGTAGGCTCCCAGCTGAGCAGGGAGCCCGATGTGGGACTGGATCCCAGGACCCTGAGATCATGACCTGGGCTGAAGGCAGAGGCTTTAACCCACTGAGTCACCCAAGTGCCCCTTGTTTCTGCAATTTTTAAAGCACAGTAATTTACTAAAGATTTAAGCCCCATGTGTCTAAAAACAATCATTGTATTTGCTGCAATTGTTTTTAATGGCTTATTTATTGCCTCCACTCTCTGGAGTTTTAACTGGAGTGAGGAGATTGAGGGGGAGACCTCACCTTATCTCTGATTAACTACCTTCCAAGGGGGGTTGAGAGGTGCCCAAATATGTCCTTAACAGAACCAACCTGCCAAAGAGCACTCCAGCTATTCATGAATAAAAGCTGGAGTGCAAGCCAGAGAAGTGCAATTTAAGTTTCACCTTAGCTGCATTAAGTTTTCAAATTTTGCACACTGTGGTAAAATTTACAAGGTCCTCAGTTTAAAAATAAGATCTGAAGTTCCTTCTAAGACTAAGGGAAATGAAATTCACACTATCCATTTTGAATCTACCTTCTTTTGCACAGTTCCTGATAAACTGCTTTGCAACTTACCAGGTGATGCTAGTCAGTCCTGCATCCCACCTGCTCGGGTAGATCTCTGAACCACGGAAAAAGTCCCAGGTCTCCACTAAGCAACGGCATTAAATCAAGTCCATGAGGAAGGTAAAGGGGGAAGAGTGTTCATCAAAGAAATGCTTTGTTTGGGGAACCTGGGTGGCTCAGTTTGTTAAGTGTCTGCCTTCAGCTCAGGTCATGATCCTGGAGTCCCTGCTCAGTGGGGAGTCTGCTTCTCCCACTGACCCTCCCCTCTCTTGTGTTCTCTCTCAAATAAATCAATAAAATCTTTAAAAATAAAAAAAACAAATAAAATCTTCCTTTAAAAAAAAAAGAAATGCTTTGTTCACAGTTCAAAATGTAGCGTATCCACCTTTCCTCAGAGTAAGAGTCCCTTTCCCTCCACATTCCTTTTCTTTGAGAGTAGGTAAATGTAAATTTTACCAAAATAAACACAGGATTCCAACGCAACAGGTGCCCAGGGCCTGTTAGAAACTGAGATGACCCTCTGGTGACACCTGAGGTCCCAGGAATTAAAGTCACAAGTCCTGGCCTCCACCCTCAACCCAACTCCCCAGGATCCCATCAGTTGTCATGACATTGTCAGGGACAGTTGTTGCTAGAACTGCTGACTGAGGAAACTATCTGCCACTCTAGAAAGTGAATGCTCTGGTAAGAGATTCTGCATTCAGGCCTAAACCCCAAAATCAAAGCCAGGGATACGTGGAAAGAACAGGAACCTGAGGTAACAGAGGAAGTCTTCTGAGAAGAGACCACCTATGTACAGCAGGCGCAGGGGGAAAGACCCAGCTTCAGTAAAGTCTGCAGGAGCAAATAATCATCTGTCACTCCTCTTACCACATAAATATACTCAACAATTTTATAGCAAGATTCCAGATTGATCCCAAGAACTCACGATGGATTATTTTATTACTGAAGTAATGAAAAGCATCCCTTACAAAGGAGTTTGCCTTTAGGTTAGGAGCAGTGGGGAACATTCAAGACTGGGCTCTAGGGAAGCCCTTTGTTCAGGCAATCCCACCCCTCAGGCAAAGCTTTACTTTCATTTCAATTTCAAGTCCTCAAATCAAATTTTGAAAGTGTCCCCCCTTAAAGAACTGCAGAATAAATAAGCAGGTCCTTTGCATTCCAAGGAATGTGTCGGGTCCTCAGAACTATCCAATTACAGGGCTTTTCTTCCCAGATATAGTCACTTTTCTTTTTTTAAAAGAGTATCATACATGCGCCCTATTGTGTGTCTACCATTTCAAATATCTTCCAAATACATCCCCATTCTGAATCTCCAGAGTCTTCTAAGAATCTAGAAGGAACTAACGAAAGCAATTTGAGTAATAACAAAGCGACTGAACAATTTAATTACCAAAGGTAGCCCTAGAGACTCCAACAAAAGGGTTGAAAGCCTTTATCTACAAAAACGTGGCCACGTGCTCAACTGTGGGACCAATTATGGGGAAGTGCAGAAGAAAGTAGCACACAGGTGCACACGCCAATTTAAGCAAATGGGGAATCAGCCGAAGTCCTCTTCGGAGAAAGGATGCTATGAAAAAATGTGACTTAGCTTCTTTCTCATCTATCAGGCTCAAGGTTTAGTTAACTTTCTTCCCTTTAAAACACACACACACATACACACCCCTTTCTTCCCTTTCTGATTAACTGAAAGTAGCACCTACCCCACACAAAATAATGGCAATTTCCTCTGCAGAAAGTCTTTGAATGGGAATTTAAAGTTCAATTGAATTTTCAATAAAAGTTCTTCCAAATCAACAGTCACAAAGGTAGTTTTACCCCCTCCCCCGCAATTTCTTCTAAGTGAAATTTTTAGAAGTTAGTGCCTTCTCTAGGAAGCCTACAGCTTCATCTAGATGTTCTGTTTAACAGCCTTATTCTATTGACCTTTTCAAGTGACCTTACAATAGAAGACTTTTTTCCCCTTGCTTTGGAGACAAACAAAAAGAGATGAACCTTTCCGGAATCCTAAGACTCTCAACTTCCTTAGGCCTTAAGAATTAAATGCAGGACCTCCCCACAGGCTGAGCAATTGCTAAATCCCTCTTCTTAAACAGGAACAGAGTTTGCTTCTGAGTGGCAATGTATTCCCCTGCCCCGCGCTCACTCCAGGGCAGGCCATGCCCAGGTGGTGACACTGAGCAGAGATAAGGTGTCCTAACAACTGTATTTGTCTGGACTCCGGGAAACCCGCGGCCACTCGGTGACTCCCACATCACAGGCGCGCATCCCCCCGCGGCTGTACCGGGGCCCCCGACGCCGCAGACCTGAGCAGCCCAAAGACCCCTCCCGCGGCGACACGGGGTAAGACTGACACCCGCAGCTGCCGAAGACCCTGCCAATCACGCTGCCGCCGGCTGCCTTTTTTAGCCACAACATCTGACCAGGCTTCGACAGCATTCAGGGAGAGGTCCCAGGGCGCGTCGGGCAGTCCCCTCCCATTCCTAAGCCCCCAGACCCTTGGAGAGCTCCGGATGAGGGGTGGGGAAGGTACTAGCCCTGGAAAGGGCCAGAGAGCGTACGTTCCTCCTGCCCTTAAGCTTCCTCTCTGCTCTCTCCACGGATCCGGGTCCCCCCTCCGCCGCCTGCACCCGGGATCCCCTATTTTGCAGCCCGTGGTTGCTCCTCGGACGCCCCTCCCCACCCCCACCTCTCAACTCCGTTCTCCTGGATCCCCTCCAAGTCGGTGGCCCGCGCGCCTGGTCGGGCGGGGGGCGGGAAGACACACAGGAAAGGGATGGGGTCCAGCCTGGGGACGCGTGGGGCCGGGCGGGGGACCCCGCGCTCACCTCCCTCCTCCGCCCCGCTGTCCGGGTCGGCGTCCGAGGAGTCGGGCCCGTCCCCGTAGTCCGCTAGCCCCACCAGTTCATCCTCCTCGTCGTCGTCCTCTTCCTCCGGCTGCGGCTTCCCCAGCACCTGGCTCATCGCTCCCACGGCCGGCCGTCCCGGGGGCGGCGGGGGTCCCTGGTGGGGGCCAAACCTCCTCCCCTGCTGCTCGCAGCCTGTTTCTGAATTGGGGTTTTGTCTGGAGGTTCACGGGAGCCCGCGGAGGCAGGGCCGCGCGCCCCCCGCGGCGGTCGGCGTCCAGGTCTGGGTCTCGCGGTTCCCACCGCTCCCGGAGCCCCCTTCCCCGCCCCGCCCGCCTGCCGGCGGAGGAGTCAGCCGGAGCGCGGCAGTTCCTCCCCGAGGAGGGAGAGAGAGACTGCGTGACCCAAGTCACCTGACACACACTGTCACACACACACACACACACACACACACACACACACACAAGGGCGCGCGCCCGCGCTTTCCCGGGCTCCAGCACCGCTCGGCGGGGCGCTGGCCCGAGGCCGCGCACACACACTGGGGGAGGGGGAGCAAGGGGGGAGGGGTGCTGGGCGGCGCGGAGCCCTCCACCTAACCAGAAGCTCACAGTGGCACACGCCGGGTACCGCGGGCTCTGGGACGCTGCGCAGTCACCCACCGCGGCTGCGCGCCAGGGGCCCCCACGCGCGCCTCCTGCACGTGGTACCCGCACAGGCCGGCAAGCTGGGGGCCTGCACAACCTGAGAACGTATCCCCCACCCACCTCCAGCACACACACCCTACCTTGGAGGCCCTCTCTGGCTTTCAGTCCTGGAGAGGGTCCCAGTCCCAAGTGGGCTGCCTTTCCCCCTCCCCACCACTGCTGCGCCCGGGCCCCCACCCAGAGCCTTGTGCCGAGGACACCGCATGGGTACTGAAGCTCCCCGAGAAGAAAACTCGGAGAAATTTACTGCAGAGGCTCAGTCTCCATAGCAATTGCCTTTCAGTGTGCGTTTATGGTTCAAAGTGCTTCCCACCAAGAATATTAAAGAATCAGGCCTATCCAGATGTAAAATGTTTCTTAAAAAACGTAACATGCCTCATGGCTGCCTAGGCTGCTCTGCAGCCTTTTGGAAAAGGTCGCAGGAGTACAACATACTCACAGGCTATTCATGACCACCTACTCCTGTCTCATTGTTTCAGAGGCTGTAATCCCCCATCTCAAAATAAAATGTTTCAAGGCTTGGGGGTGGGGGGAGCAACTCTCACATAGGAACAGCAACAATGTGTGGGTAAAACTAAAACCTGCATTTCTCCACAAGCTCTTTACCGCCGGACATACTATACCCACCCTTTCTGATCCTGCAAAAACCACGTGAATGAACTTCCTTATGTCAAGCACAATAAGAAATAAACCAGCTGGCCAGCATGGTGATCCAGATCCTACAGGTGCCAACAGAGCAGCAGGTGGTGTGGAGGAGGAGGCAGAGAGCTGAGACTGGAGGTTCTTGGGGCCAAGGGTGCTGACTCTGTCTGAAACATTTATTGAGCACCTACTATATGCCAGGGGCTGGACTAAGTATGGGTTTGTCTTGGGGGGGGGCAGAAAGTGTCCACCTATACTCAGAATAGTATTCCTGCCCTGGAGGACCTTTCGGCCTAGCAAACCATGACTCATGTCCTGGAATTTGTATTTGTGGTGTTGAAGGTGGATGTAGACACCTAGGAGGTGGCTGCTTCTAATTGGAAAGGTCTTCAGATTTTCCCAGGGGAGGAAGCTTAACTTGATATGACTGCATCAGTCAAGGTCCTTTCCAGGAGGAAAACAGATGGCATGGGCAAAGATTTTAACTTACAGAAAGCTTTAAGTAAAGAACAATTTACAGGGGCGCCTGGGTGGCTCAGTGGGTTAAAGCCTCTGCCTTCGGCTCAGGTCATGATCCCAGGATCCTCGGATCGAGCCCGGTGTCGGGCTCTCTGCTTGGCGGGGAACCTGCTTCCTCCTCTCTCTCTCTCTGCCTGCCACTCTGCCTACTTGTGATGTCCGTCTGTCAAATAGGTAAATAAAATCTTAAAAAAAAAAAAAAAGGAACAATTTACAGGAGCATGGGCAGGGTTCAGGGAATCAAAATAGGGATTAGTAACAGTGGGAAGATACTATCACCCCTAAAGTAGTAGGACTAAAGAAAGGGAGCTTGAGTACTGGGCAGGGGGCACAAAACAGGAGCTGTAGCTGATGAGGAAGCAGTCATTTTCAGAAGCACCTCACTGTCAAGGAGACAGCAATAGAAAGAGATACCCTGACCTCTCTCTCGCCAACCACCCTCCATTCTCCTGGAAGTGCCTCCCAATGGCCAAATCAGCTGGAAATCAGAGGGCGAGCGAGTCTAGAACCTAGTCCAGAACACAGAGATCCGGTGGGGCAGATTGCAGGTCCCAGGCTGGGGCTGGAGTGGGGGGGCACACGGCACAGCAAACACAAGAAGGCTCTACTTGCTCTTATCAGCGGAAGTTACACTAGGGATAATTTTCCTAGTGCCTTTCATCCAATTTATGAAAGGAAGTTCCCAGGGGGAAGGAAGAAGTCCTTTCCCAGATTGGATTTAGACTTCCAACTATCCCAGAACAAACCCACCAGCTTGGGAAGGACACTGAACTGGCTTGATTCAAACTCCAGAGGACTGCTCATGAGGCCCTAGAAGCCTATCTAAAGTCGGGCTAGCCAGTCAGGGCATTCCTCGGCTGGTTGCCGGGCGTGTCTGTCCCAGGGACCCAAGGGTTTAAGATAGGACAATTCCTAAGCCAAAAACCCCCACTGTGCCTGAGACCCCGAAAGGATGGAGATATTTGATAATCCCTGCCATCCCCCCAAAAGACAACTTTTAAAGGGAACATCAGCAGTAAATTGGAGCACACCCTAAAATATTTGAGAATTGGGCCATTCTTGAGAAAAAAGGAACAAATCCATAAAAACCTCAGTAAAAGCCAAATCCTTGATTATGCTCTCTCCCAAGGTAGATGAGAGTCATAGACCGGTTTAAGAGATTCTAATTCATTGTCATTTACAAATGTACAGTATTTTTTTAAAGATTTTAGTTATTTACTTGAGAGAGAGCTCACAAGTGGGCAGAGAGGCGGGGGGGGGGGGGGAGGGGGGGGGGGGGAGCAGGTTCCCCACTGAGCAGGCAGCCAGATGCGGGGCTCGATCCCAGAACCCTGAGACCATGACCTGAGCCCCCCAGGCGCCCCAACAAATGTACGGTAATAAAGTTTGAGCAAACAGAATAAGAAAAAATTGTATTGCTTTTCTTTTGCTGTTATTCCAATTCTGTCAGCTTTCAAATAAAGGATATATTGAAAACAATTGAAAGAAGTTTTTTTTTTTTAGTTTAAAAATTCATGTATGTAGATTCTTTCAGAATTTAAATAAAAATGGAAAGACTTTGGGGTGCCTCTGGCTCAGTTGATGAAGCTTGTGACTCTTGATCTCAGGGTCCTGAGTAAGTTCAACTCCCTGCTGAGCACAGAACCTATTTTTTTTTTTTTTTAGATTTTTATTTATGTATTTGACAGAGGGAGACACAGTGAGAGAGGGAACACAAGCAGCGGGAGCGGGAGAGGGAGAAACAGGCTTCCTGCTGAGCAAGGAGCCGGATGCGGGGCTCCATCCCAGCACTCTGGGATCAGGACCCAAGCCAAAGGCAGACACTTAATGACTGAGGCACCCAGGTGCCCCAACATACAGCCTACTTTTAAAAAATAAAAATAAATAGTAATAATTTTAAAAAGGAATATGAGGGGTGCCTGGGTGCCTCAACTGGTGGAACAGCTAGCTCTTGATTTTGGCTTCAGTCATGATCTCAGGGTCCTGCATAGAGATCTGCATCAGGCTTCCCTCTCAGCAGGGAGCTACTCGAAGGTTCTCTCCCTCTCTGTCTGCCCCTCCCCCTGCTCACAAGTGCAAGCTCTCTCTCAAAGAAATAAATCTTTAGGAAGGAAGGGAAGGAGGAAGGAAGAATGGATATGCCTCTGAGCAACCCATGGTTTTTGTTGTTGGATATAACCTCTGCAGATTGCCATATACATGATAGATGCTTAATAAATGTCTATGGAATGAGTGAAAGGGAAAAAAAAGGACGGTACAGGGCAGGTCTCCGCACAGACTCGGCATATTTCTGAGAGAAACTTCAGGAAGTCAAGTTTTCTACTCACTCTAAACCCTGGGAAATGCCACAATGAAGTATGAATGAATGAATGAATGAATGAAGTGAGCTAGTAGAGTGTAATCAAGAATGAGCTGACATATGAGAAATGATCACTCTTAGGCCTTCCTCCCTTCAGGACTGCCTAAAGCTTTGAAGGAATTACAATATAATGCCTGTTAAATGCCCCTTTAATTTTTATTAACCCTTCCTTCTAAAAAAAAAAATCTAACTCTTTTTCCCATTTAAAAAAATGTTATTGGGGGCACCTGGGTGTCTCAGTCGGTTAAACATCTGCCTTTGGCTCAGGTCATTGATCCCAGGATCCTGGGATCGAGCCCCATATCGTGCTTCCTGCTCAGAGATGATTCTGTCTCTTCCTCTTCCGCTTTCCTGCTTTTACTCTCTGTTAAATGGATTAAAAAAAATCTTTAAGAAAAATTAAAAATTTTATTGACTTTATTTTTATTTTAGTATAGTTGACAAAAACTCTTAATTCTGAGAGGTATTTTGTAGCATCCAGAAAGATGAGCTTTGTCTATTGCCTACTAAAATTTAACCAAATAACATTTAGTGAGATTTTCCATAAATAAGGCACTGTTCCAAAATAATGCGAACTTCAAAATAATCTCATTAAATAAGTAATATGATTGTCCTTACTTTACAAGTGGGAACGCTAAGATTAAACCATTTGCCCAAGGTACCACATGCAGTGGACCTGCAGTGGACCGTGGCACTACTTTGGAACTCAGTTAGACATTAGATCTTGTTCCTATTTAGTGGCTACAGGAAATTATATTATAGCCTTAGACAGAAAAGGAGGGCAGAAAGTGAAGAACTGGCTCCCAGTCTCCTAGATAAAGAATCAAAACACACATATACACTCAAAAATGGGTCTATTGCCCCAAGCCATTTAATGTACAGGATTCGGAGCGCCTGGGTGGCTCAGTCATTAAGCGGCTGCCTTTGGCTCAGATAATGATCCCAGGGTCTTGAGATCAAGCCCTGCATTGGGCTCCCTGCTCAGCAGGACTCCTGCTTCTCCCTCTCCCTCCGCTTCTCCCCCTACTTCTGTTCCCTCTCTCGTTGTCTCTCTCTCTCTCAAATAAATAAATAAAATCTTAAAATAAATAAAGTAAAATTTGAATTTTAAAGTCCAGAAGTTTGTGCCCTTATTCTAATGAATTATTTTGCCATCTGCAATTAGAAGTCTTGTGACAAG